AAAGCTCAAGTGAGTACCGGGAAGGTGAGGCTGTTTCCCTGGAACCGGGAAGCGGTCAGTCTCACCTAGGCAATTTCCAGGCTCAAACACACTCTGTTTCGCTCTTGCAGTAAAGAAACCAATTAGTCAGTTAGGTTTTAGATGGGCTGAATTGTTAAATTGGTATTCCACATCTGAGTGGGGATTTTTTTTCCCCACTCAGAGGAACCAGGAAAAGCTAAATGTTTTTACCCTGGTTTGTGTATGTTTGTGTGTGTGTGTGTGTGTGTGATTTTCACCATTATATTCCCTTGGTAGTTTGGAATTGGGAACAAAATGTTACCATTGGAAGAAGTAAAGGAGTTTGGGCAGTTTACGTGAGAGTTGCATGTCTCTATCTCCAAGAGCCCCTGGATTTGAAGGTCAGATTACAAATTTCCATAAAACACATAAGCACTGAGGGTGAGGTCCCCGTATGCAGTTCATGGATGGATTTTGGTTCTGTGCCAAGCACAGCCCTGAGGGGTGTCCAACACCCCTCCCCCGCTGCCCCAGAAAACGGCACCTTCGTTTTCCTACAGACTCCGGCGGCCCTGGACCCTGACGGTGCTTCCCTGAGGATTTTTCACCCCAGCCCCCAAGACTTCCTTGATCCTTTTGTTAAGCAATGGGACACGGGGGAAGTCGACGGGAAGCTTGCCGTCCCATCTCAGAATAGAGCTCCTCAGTGCCAAATGCCTCCAGTGCATCGCAGTGCCTAGAGTGGCGAGAGCAGCTAATTCTAGGAAAGCCAGGGTTCCCCCGGGCTCTGCCGGTGGTCCAGGAACCCCAGGGTAACGGCAGCCCCTGGCACTAGAGTGCAGTGGTCCTGAGTGTTTGAAAAAATGGGCATGTGGGCATTTTCCTTTATCCCAGAGAGGTCTGATGTTGAAGGAGGGAGAGAGCAGGCCAGGCACACTGGCCAGCCTCGAAGGGCCCCACAGGATATGGAAAGTTACTAACACACAAGGCTCCCCGAGCTGGCAGCTATTACTGCTTCAATTAGGTGTTTAAACAAGTTACTTTCTTTGATTTAACAGAGGTCGGAGGGTTTGAGGGCAGTTGAAATGTGAAGTGTTCACTTAAAAACACAGAGCCCGTTTTACATGGCCATTGCTGTTGTGTGAAGGCAGAAACTTACTAAAACACTAAAGGTCGTACGGAGAAAATTCATCTCATTGGATTTGGGTGGACGTGATGAATGATTTTAATATATGATTTTCGTCAGCCCATCGGCTTACATGAAATAAGAATTGTTTCATCCCTTGTCCCTGGGGGGCGGGGAGGGGCTCAGCGGCGATGGCAGGGGTGTCGAATGTAACGGACTGCTGTCCGGAGCTGCCAGTACCATGTCCCCAGAGGAAGCTCTGGTCTTCTGTCCTGGCCTAACACTGGAATTTCAGGCCATTACTTGAAAATGGCTTGGTGCTTGCACTCCTGGGTGGCTCTGGGGCGCAGTTTGGTCTATGTGGAAGCAGCTCCCCCCTGCAACTCCCACCCCCGAGCCCTCTGCACCTGTGTGTGCCTTGCTCCTGGGCATGGACTCAGTGGCCCTGGCAAGCAGCATTGGGAACGGCCAGAGGTGTGGCTATTCTTTCCCACTGAATGCCCATTAAATAGAGGCATAAAGCTGCCAGCTCTCAGAGAATGTTCTGAAAGTCTGTACCGTTCTTAATGATATTTTCTTTAAAGTTATTTTTTTTGTGCGTTTTTGCAAAACAGATCTCTATTAAAAAACCCCATAGACACACTTGTGCATACATCTCTTGAAAAAGCACACATCAAAATAAAATGAATAAGGGTGGCAACCATTCCTGATGCCTTCAGGAAGACGTCGCTTCTGGGTTTAGGACTTTGGGGTAAGCGGCCCTGGGTGGGCCTGCAGACCCTCAGTGGAGAGCTTCCCTGGTGCCCCCCAGGACCTAGGCGAAGGGCTGATTGGCCGTTGGGGCTGCTGGGAGGCACGCACCCTGGGGCCACGGGAAACCACCGAGACTAGGGAGCCCCTGTGTGGTGTGAGATCTCAGAGAAGGGCCATGGCGACAGTCCCCAGGCCCTTCCGGGGCTGGTGGCACCCTCTGCTGCGGCGGGATCTTTGCTCTAGGGTTAGGAGACACCTCAAATGCTCCAGGGGACCCATCCCCTCCTTTCATTAGGACAGGATGGAAGACATTTTTTTTTCCAGCCCCTGAGATTTCTTATCTTATGTGGCCATGGACACACTTGCATTTGCATTTTTAGAAGTCGCATGACGCTGGGTCAGGGGTCTAACCCATATGACCTCCGCTGCCTCACCTGTGAAATGGGACCACAGTGACTCTCCTGTCTTGTGCTGGGGGAGGTCAGGAGAGCCTCTGGCAGGTGCTCAGTCCCCAGCAGCTGCCCCCAGAAACTGCACTGGCTCCTGGCCCGGCTCTGCATTCTCTCTCTGCTTTCCGTGGCCCGGCTCAAGTTGTGAGGTCCAGGGCCACCCGGATTTTGTTCTAACGCTTCTGAAGAGGCAGAATAACAGGGTCCCGAGTACATGTCAGGACTGCGGCCTCCCGCACCTGGCAAAGCAGGCCTGGGAGGCTGTGGCCAGGACAGGTCCGGAGCGGGGAGCCTGCAGTGACCTTGACCGGGGTAAGAAGTCAGGCACCTGACCCATGGGCAGGTGGTGGACTCCGCGGTCCAAGGGTGGGGCCCTGGAAGACCTCTATTCTTCTCGTGCATATTCTCATTAGTCTTGAAAAGTGCATTTTGTTGTATTGTACAGATTATACTAATAAAACATTCTCACTGTAGAGAAAATGAAAAGAAAAATTACAAAATCAATACGAATTGCTTTTGATCCCAGCCAGCCAGAGAAAATTACTGGCATTTGGTGGGTCTGCCTATGTGTGTTTCTGTCTGTCTGTCTACCCGACTGTCTTGCTTTTCTCAGTTAATGTTGTTTTACAAACATTTCCATGTATCCCTCAAAATATTTGATAAGCAGAATTTGTATGTGTGATTATATCCCACCTAAAATAATATTATAATGTATATAACCAAATCCTGTGGTAGGAAATAATATTGCTTTCAGTTCATGTTTTAAGAAATACTTTATTTATCTATTTTTAGAGATGAGGAAGGGAGGGAGAGAGACGTGAATGTGAGGGAGAACAGTGACCGGCCGCGTTCTGTGTGTGCCCCAGCCAGGGACCGAACCCAGAACCCAGGCGTGTGTCCAGACCGGGAATCAAACCCAGCGACCTGCGCTTTGCGGGACGACACCCAAGCCACTGAGCCACGCTGGCCAGGGTCCCTTCAGTTTTTCACTAACTACATTGCAACACACCTTCTGTCTAATTTTTAAAATTCTCTTTATTAGTACTGGTGCTAAGGAAAGGAATAATTGGACCAAAGGGGAGATATATTAAAGTCTGTGCCAAATTTAAATATTTGCCAATTAGAGAAAAATTGGCCCATTCACTCTCTAGAGGTGTTACCCATTTCCACTTCTTTTAGCTGCCGATGAGGCCAGTTTCTCTGCACTCCTAGCAACTCTGAATATTTTACTCTTTGAATTTTTGCCATTCTGACAGCAAAAAATGGGAATCTCATTTTAGCGACAGTATTTCATTACGGTTTTGGTCTGTGAACCTGTCTCAGCTAAGTGGCCACTCTGACCTCTGGACCTTTTTCTTATTCACACTCTCATTCCCTGTCCCGTCCAACTTACTTCCCACACATTTCCCCCACTGAACTTGGCTGAGGCGTGTTTTACGACGTTTGGGATCCCTCCTCGTCCTGTCCCCTCCCTCCCTCGCGGTCTTCCCTCGGGGGGTCAGCACGTCCCCCCGGCTCTGCCGCGCCCGTGAGCCCCTCCGGAACTTCTTGTTCCCCAGCGTGGGCCATAGAATCTGATGTTCAACAGGGGCCAGCAACCTGCAGGGCTTCAGGGAAAATTTGTTGGAGAATTAAATTTTAATGAAGCTCCTTTGAAGTCCTAAAGAGGAAAATGAAGAGACTCTCCCAGAGAGGGAACCTTATTCTGAAGTTCTGAACACAGAGTAGTATGATCGTGCCTATAGATATTAAGTCACACTTCTGCAGAGACGTTCCTCCTAGTTAAGTAAGAACGGATTAAATAGCATTACGCTGATGTTTAAAAGAGAGTAGAAAGATGTTTTCAAAAGGCAGTGGCTGTTGTGTCTTGAATTCAAAATCCCAATTATCAACACCCTCAGAGTTGCTGGTTGTATGTCAGGCTCCGCTGGGTGTTAACCTCGTCTCAGGCAACCTGGGCGCTGCTGCTGTTTGTACCAACAAAGACGGAGGTTAAGGAGGCCGAGAATGTGGCCGAAATCACACAAATCTCTTGGTTTCCCCTCAGTTTATCACCCCACGATCTTTTTCCCTGCTCTTTTGCCCTAGTGCCAAATGCTAAATTACTGTGCAGGAAAAAAATGAATTCAATGATGTAGCCATACATTTCACGGAATAATGAAACTTACGATAACCGGTTTATGCATGCCACTGTTTTTGTGTGAAGAACCCCATGGGCAACAGGGGTTATTCTCTAGGTGGCTAATCAAAAAGAGGTGGAAAAGGGGTGACAGTGGAGGGCACCTGTAATAGTGTCACCAGTAAACTATCAGCAAGTAAAAGAATGGAGGAACCTTGAAGGAAAAAGAGAGAAAGAAAAAGTGCCAGAAAATTCAAGAGCGAAGGCTCTAGCACCAGATGCTGTGTTTGCCCAGTGACCAGAATTCTTTCCATATTTGGCAATTTCCAAGGGGCAGTGGTTCTAGATTCCAGACCAGCTGCTGATTTGAGTTTCCTCATTCCAAGTGTCAGCTTCCTTGCTCTCGTCTTGGCAACGCATGTGAAAATGCGGCTCCGAGTTTTCCATCGGGGCCTCCCAAGCCTTTGAGGGGCGTCCGTGGAATTTAGCCTGGGAAGAATGGTCATCTGCTGTCGCACTCAGATAAGTGCTGAGGCATGGAGGGGAAAAAAAAGAGAAAGCCAAGGCCAAGGAACATTATTTATTTTTAAAGCCACATTATAGTCCAATCACAACAGTAACCTCGGGGCTGCTACTTCAAAAGCATTTGGCCAGGACAGCGCACGTCAGCTTCTGGAAAATATAGCACAGAACCTTGAGGACGTGTGCAGAAGACCCGTGCTCCTGGACTGAACGCGGGCAGACAGCTTTCAGGCATTCTACCTGGAGGACTGGCCACCTCCGCGCCCCGCCGCCCCTCCTCCTCTTCTGTCCCCCCAAGGCCACGCATTCAAGTCATCAGCCGATTGCGTGTTTACCGCCCATTCCCTTTGGGTCCCATGGAGTCTTGCCCAGTTTCATTTTTTAAAGTTAACCGTATGCATGTGATGCTCACCTCTGGGGAAGAGGAAACTGTTGAAACCACACTGCAGCATTTGTTAACACAATTAGTTTGTGTCTCAATTTGAGGTAGATTTCCCAAGATGTTGCTCCAAGTTAAAAAAAAAAAAGAAAACTATGTGGTTTTATATTGCGAAGTCCTCTTGGGATCCGCTGTCCATGCGTGTTACCTGGCGTGCAGAGAGTGTAAGAAACATGAAGGGTAAACCGTGCAAGTGCAGCGGAGTTTATCTCAGACCCAGGGAGGCCTTCGATACCCTCTTTCTACAGGGCATCCTTCAAAGAGCCTCTGCAGGGAAGGGCCTGGGCTTGTCTTGCCCACAAGGAAAGGGAGGCCTGGGTGCGGAGGCTGGTAGTGGGGGTGCAGGGAGGAGAAAGAGGCCTCTGGCCTGGGAGCTGGGGGCTGAAGCTTCAGTTCAATGAGGTTGGACCTGAGCAGGTGAATTCGCCTGGCCTGGCCTCAGTTCCTTCTCGGGGACAGGGAGAGGGTCTTCCTGGCATTTCACCATTGACAAGTCACTGAGCTCCCAGGATCTGGGTCTTTCCATCTGTAACAACGGTTTCTGCTCCGTGGGGCGAGATTCATTGAGCTGGCTCCCATGGGAAGTCCCGAATCCATGGTAGCTGATGCTGTTATTCATTCAAGTCGAACACATGTTCCTTCTAGGACAAAAATCAGGAATCTAAAAAAGTTTTATTTTTCTTTCTCTCTATTTCTATAATAGTTTGTGGATTGAAAATTTTTTCCAATTTTTCTCTAACACGTTCTTTTCCCTTTATTACAAAATAGAAACTCTGAGTGCTCACTGTTCAGGGCACCCTCTGTGCCTTGGAAGTGGCTTAAACCTGCACTAGGAAACGCTTAGGCCCCCCTTCACGTCTCCGTCGCCCTCTGCTTCTCTCTGCACCCCTCACTTTCACACTCCCTCCCTTCCTCTCCTGCTTTGCAATGGTTAACAAGCCAAGGGGGGAGTTTTGTAACGTCAAGGCCAGCGGTGATGATGAGGAGGGCCTTCTTCAACATCTCACATGCCCAGGGGTTCCTCTTGGATTCCTGGGGTCCCTGCTTTGGTCTACTTCACGCTGCCTGTCACAGATAGTGGGTCATTTTTCTCCCCCCAAGAAATCTGGGGCAGTTAGGTGGCAAGCCCTTCATGCAGAGCAAAGAAATAGAGACTGACCAGGAGGCCGTACCTGTGGGAGGTTCACATCATCAACAGCAGCAGCTACTCCCCTGCGTTTGTGTTCTCTCTCTTCACTTCATCTTGCGTGAAGCCCTAGAATTAGAAGCATATGTCTGTTCATGTATAAAATAAGAATATTGTCCAAGATCAACTACAAATGACATTGTAAACTCATTGACTTCTGAATTATCCTTCCCCCCCATGAGAGTTAACGTGCATAATCTCATTGACTTTATCTATTAAGCCACAGAGTGGGAACTCGGTGAGCCTGTGTTAAGCATAGAAGAGAAATACCATTTACTTTGCTAGAGTGAAGAAAGCCACCCTTGGTTCCCTGGGCATCCGAGAGAGGACCCCCCGCCCCACCCCACTGCTGACTGCAGTGACTCACTCACTGTTGGGAGCACATCACGGTGCAAACAGTTCTGATAAGAAGCTGGTTGTGAACTAAGCGCACGCGCATGTTTTCAAGCCTTGTTCTCTGGAGATGGAAAACATCTTTTTTTAGATCACATGTTTACTGCTTTGGTAAACAGTAAAATGCTGCTGTAGCAATTACCTTGAGGATAAAGGGTCTGTAGACAGATACTTCCTGTGTTCACTTCCTACACAGATAGCCAGCCCAACCAGAGACACGGGGATGTGGGGAGGGCCCCTGATGGAAACTTCCTTTGCCAGCGCAGGCTTGGTTCCTCATTAACTCCTCTCCAAGGGGAGCAGCCTGACGTTCAGGCAGAAATCTCAGTCTTGAAGCAGGTAAAAAGTGTGAGGTTCCTTATGAGTGTAGATAGACTAGATGTACCTGTGAGTAGCACTGGGTGCTCCATAGGTCTCTCAGTCTCCGTTCTATCCTGGAGAATGATACCTGAGTCTGCTTTTGTATTTGTTGGGACATAAGCCACTTGGAGATTCAGGTGAAGGGTTGGTGGGTTGTTTTTCTTTTTTCATGTTTATTTAGTGTAAGGGTCATTTTCGGTTTCGTTCTCTTGAGTCAAGCAGCGATCACCTGATCTGGGCACAGAAATCTCGGTGCACAGATTGTCCTCTGTGCTGACTTTACACTAGCTGTTAACTTCCAGCGGATGCATTGTTTAGGTCCTTTGAACCAAAGCACATAAAACCACAACACACACAAACACCGAACAATAGGGAATCATCAATTATCCATCCACAGGATGTGTCCTTACTGACTGGCCCCTTTGTAGGGGAAAAAAATACATCAAGTCAACAAACAGCAACACTGAACAATAACCTAAATAAAATAAATAGCACCTGAAAGCCACACAGCCGACTTACTGGCCAGACGCTGAAGGCTGCTGTTTACCTTCTCTAAGCAAGGAAACCTGGGGCTCCACCCAGATCCCCTGAAGTCCCTGAAATCACCAGGAAGCCCAGCAGCCATTAGTGGCTGGCTTAGGTCTTGGTGAAACGCCTCCTTCGATGACGGACAAGTGCCTGTGAGCTTCACGTCGTGATGGACAGGAGGACTGTCCAGTAGGAATTCTTCATCCAGCAAGTAGTCCATAAGTGTGCCAACTGACAGGTGGGGGTGCACAAAGACTGCGCTTGACCCTGAGAAGCTGCCTGACAGGGTGCAATGTAGTCGTGTGGTGCTGGAAGGTGCCGGTTCACGAAGGTGCCCTGCTGCGTGTATCTACAGACTCAGTGCACTTAGTTTGGTTGCATTGACATGAACTTATCCAAAGCAATACTTCCTCTGGGGGACGCATCTGTTGATAAGTGTTTGCTCACTGTAAGACCTCAGGGTCCTCCTGCTCAAATGAACACCGAGTCTTCCTCTGTATTTGTTCCCCCTGTGCCTCGGGCGTGCGGCTTCCTTAGCTGTCAGGGCAGCTCTGGGCGGTGTCCCCCAGTCTCCCCGCCTGCTTCCAGATGCCGCCTCGCCCCTGCCGCTCTGCAGGGCGGCTGCTGTGGCCTCCTGAGCCGGAGCCGCTGGAATCACGCCATGTGATGCAGGATTGCTCGGTTGAGACTCGCCTTTGATGCCAGAGGGAATGGCCGGCCTGCCGGCCTTCTCCCTGAAAATCACCGCTGTCCACCTGGGATTGGGGTTGTTTGGTTGGTTTTGTTTTCCTGAGTCTGACGTGAACACAGGTCCAATATGTCCATTGAAAAGCATGTCCGTCAAACAACTATAGTCAAACAGCTCCAGTCAAACTATGTTCTTTTCCCCCATTTCAGCAACAGATTTTGTAGGAGATTAGAAAATAAAAAATCAGTAACGGAAATTAAAATAATTGATATTACACCATCAAGAGTCTTTTGAAACTTCATGCCTTTGGATTGGGTGCAGGGCTTTGTTTTCCCAGGCACACGGGCGTGTTCTTCAAAGTGAATAATAAAAGATGAGAGGGTAAACTCGGTTTTTGATAGTCCTTTTCAACTCACTCACCTTTTTCTAGGAGAGTGAAGAGAAGAGGAGTTAGGGCTGAATAGGGTGTGGCCCCCTTTATTGATGAAGGCCCGGTTGTCATCCAGCCAAACCAGGGTCTCATTGCGGAGCAGAGCCGGCCTGCCAGGAGCAGGTCCATGTCCCGCGGCCCCGGCAGGGCGAGGCCTCGGTTTCCTCGTCTGCAGGGCAGATTCCATGGTGATAGTGGCAGTACTTGCTGAGGGCGGTGCCAGGATAAAAGCGCTTGGTGGGTGGGTGGGCTTTGGACGGCACTGTGCTTCAGAGTGCAGAAGGCATCCCCTGTTACGGCTGTGGTTCCCCATCCCAGGCTCATCCCTGTGGTTTAATTCATTCTCTTACTTGCTTTTCCTGAAGTAGCCTGTTGGTGACCGTGTTCGTTTCCCACATCTGTCTGCTAGAAGGACTCCTCCAGGTACACTTTGGGCATTTATAACTTTCTCCTAGACAGATGGAAGCACTTCCCTCTGTGGTTCCTCTACGTGGTTCATCTCCGTCTCATGCCATTCCTTCGAGGATGGCAGAGAGAGCAGAGCAGAGTCGCCATCGGGCGTCCGATTACTGGTTCAAGCCACATGTCAGCCAGACTCCCAGCGGCTGAGCTCCGCTGCATTTTCACAAGCTCAGAAATCCAAGCCTTTGGAGGCTCCGGGCAGAGCTGGCATGCAGGGCTGTGAGGTGTCCCTGCCTCTGCCTCGGCGTTTTCCTTGTCTCGTACCAGCGAGCAGCACACTCTGTGGAGATGGGGAGCAGGCAGGCACCGAACTATCGCTGTGCCAGTTCCTGTCCATCATTTAGAATCTGCGGAACCTCACAGGACACCGGGAACTCCCAAAACACTGGGTGTGAAAGTTCTGTTCTCTGTGCCTTAAGTTACACGCCGCTGTCATGTAATCTCGTGTCTTACCGTGCCTGGTGGGAATGGCGTCTAGTCGATGCATGTCCTAGAAGGACGACTGTCTATTTGCCTGCATGATAAACATGTGAGTGGGTGCATTAGTTAGTGAGGTGGTACCTGGTAACCTGCCCTGGAGAATGAGTCCATTTGATCCAGTGAGAAGTTGCTGACTTCTTACAACAAAGACATTGTGTCAGCGCCCACCCCTGAGAATTGTGGGGGAAGCTGTGCTCCTTGAGCAGGAGAGAAGCATCACTCGGTGGGGACCAGTGTGTGGCATTTTCCTGGGGTCGTGTGCGAACGCCTAACGTGAGACGTGAGTGAGTGTAGGACCTCCGAGCCAGCCCGTGCCGGGGACGGTGGGGGTGATGGGGCCACTGTCCAGAATTGGACTGGATTTCGAACAGGTGTGAGCAGGTGACCGAGGAGTGCACGCTGTCTCCACTCGGCATGGTGGCAAGCTGGAGGTGCTTTCCACTGGATGCCTGGAAGCCAGGATGCGGTTCTTGAAGCCTGCGTTGTGTCACATGACGCTGGCTGGGACGAGCCAAACAACCCAGCAGGCTTTGTGCTTTTCCCGACTGGCCACACCTCGAAGCGCTTACACGTCGTGGGCCTGCCGCGGGTCAGCTAAACATCGACTGCTCCCAAGTCCTCCAGGGATGAAAGGTTGTGCTTAATGGGCTCCAGCGGGCACCATTGTTCTTCTTCTGTTACCGTGGTCCCCCCTTTGAAATTTCAGTGCGGCCGTCACTTCATGTATCCGGGGCATCTAGGATGGCACCCACGGGGGTTCCCATGGTCACATGCCAGCCCGGCAGCTCCTGCAGCACTGTCATGGTTACACCAGTGACATCTGCAGTGGGTACGACCTGCTGGAGCATTGTCATAAACAGCTGAGTTCTCTATATTTCCCTGCAAGGTCATGTGCTTTAGAATAACGATCAGCTTTAACAGCTGTCAACGGTCCATGTAGCTAAGCCAGAGAAAATGGAATTCCCTCCTGAACCTTTAGGGTTGGCCAACACACTATTTAACTCAGTGAGCCTTGCTGGTCAAAGTATTTTGTATATATAAGTCAAAGAAAATGTGATCGTTCATGAAACCATAAAACCCCCATCTCAGTGAGATTTTTTTTTTTAATGAACTGATTTTCAGTCTAATCATTTCAGAATCTGCCTCTCTGCTGCTTCCCTAGTGCCCAGCACAGGACTTGGCATAGGAGGTGCTTCTCCATAAATCCTCCCCGAATGAGTGAACACATCAAGAAATGACCAAATGTGTAGCGAAATCTTTCCCTGAGTGAAGCATGTCTTAGGTGGGACAGGTGACTACAAGAAATCTGAGTTGGTCCCTCTTCAGCAAAACTGTAGTCTAGTTGGTAAGGAGTCGAAGAAAAGGAGGCAACTTTTATTTGGGAGTCAAAAAGCTGGAAGAAACCTGATTGGTTACCTTGGATTCCAGTGTTTTCCAGCCCAATTATACTTTAGATCACCACGCTCTTAACTGTTTTTAGGATAAGTAAAAGAAACTGAGAGAACTAGGTTTTGTTGGGGAGCATACATGAAGCAATCTAAATTTGACTAATTTTTGAAGTTTATTTATTTATTTTTAGAGAGAGGGGAAGGGAGGGAGAAAAAGAGGGAGCGGAACATCAATGTGTGGTTGCCTCCCGTGCACCCCCTACTGGAAACCGGCCTGCAGCCCAGGCATGTGCCCTGCCTGGGAATCAAACCAGCGACCCTTTGGTTCATAGGCCTGCATTCAGTCCACTGAGCTACACCAGCCAGGGCTAGATTTGACTCATTTGCCCACAAATGTTGGTTGGAAAAACACACTGAAGAAATTATATTTTAATTTCCATTTTCAGAAACTTCTAACGTTGTTTTCAAACAAAACTTTGAGAGATTTAAAGATACTTGTCAAACCACGTCCCCACATGACTTTCATTCGAACTTGAACTAGACATTTGCCCTGCGATGGTGCCAGAGCCAGACTTCCCTAAGCAGAGAAATGGGGGCCTGGCCAGACAGAGAAGTTTACCTGGAGAACTTTTACAAAACTAGTGTTATTCTGAAAAATTTAGGCTATCTGGTGGCTGTAGCCAGGAAGTTACCTAATTCTTGGCATAGTCTGAAGCCCTTTCAAAAGCTGTACTAACTCTATAAATCAAACAGTGGGCCATAGAATGCC